AGAGAGAGAGAGAGAGAGAGAGAGAGAGAGAGAGAGAGAGAGAGAGAGAGAGAGAGAGAGAGAGAGAGAGAGAGAGAGAGAGAGACTCATGTGCTAAACTGGCACAGCTTTGTTATAGGCGTATCGCAGAGGCATGCCACCCCATAGCTTGGCCAGCTCGTTCACGCAACGGCTACGGGCCTCGTAGTGATCCGCTCGCTCCGATAGCCCTACTCTAGCGGCCCGGGTGTCTTTGGTAGTCCATCTATCACCCGCATCCTTGACTTTCCCGACGACGGCCAAAGGCGCCATGTTGCTGTAATTCGCGACCATGAAGTTCATCGCAATATCCTCGCAATTCATCGTTTCGTCAATCATCTCCCTCACACCACTCGGCATGTGACACGTGTAATCGAACAAGTACTCGGTCCTTAACAGCATCGCCTTCGTCAAAATGATGGAGTACTTTGTGCGTTCCCCCTTCGGTCGCAGTCGTTTCGGCCAGTAGATCCAAGAGCCATTCTCGGGACTGCACAGATGCGCGCGCGGGAAGTATCCGACGATGCGCTGCCTGTTTTCCCGCCAAACCGTGAACGCGAACTCCATACTCGATTTGTCCACCAGGATGTCATCATCCATGATGGCAACCGCTGAACTCTCGATGAAAGTTCGTGGAAGAAACCTGTTGTTCAGGCTGTTTGACCGCTGACCTACGACATGGATCGGAGCTCCATCGCTGTCGAACCTTTCGTTCGGTTCATCGAACCTAGACACCGGGATGTCCATATTCTGCCACAGAACATAGATGGCTCTCACGAAAGGATAGCTCGCCATTCTCCGCGTGTTGTTTCGAAGGATAGCAATCCGTTCTATACTGAAACCGGGGACAAGTACCGTCAACTGGTCGTCGCTTAGCTCTGCCTCCGACAGGTAGCGACTCCTATTGCACACAACAGCAGCAGCAGAAGCAGCAGCGGCAGAAGAAGAAGAAGAAGAAGAAGAAGAAGAAGAAGAAGAAGAAGAAGAAGAAGAAGAGGAGGAGGAGGAGGAGGAGGAGAAGGAGATCTCGTCTTCTGCTGTCGCCTCAGCAGGGCTTCTCTCTCCATTCACAGCCAGAATGGAGAGGGGGAAGCTCGATGTGTTTAACGCGGTGAGACGAGGAGTAGGACAGTGCAGCAGCAGAGACCACGATGCGAAGAAGAAGAGAAGCAGTACCACGAGCAAACTTAGCACGGGAAGATAGCCGCCACAGCTCCATCCCGTAGGTCGCCGACAACAATAGGCTAAGGATGGAGATCTGGGCGGCAGGCCCGAGGATTCTGAAGACGACGGCATAGCTGCCATTGCTTGCAGCGATGGCGGCCGACTGAGCACCTTGAAGTAACGAGTCGAAAAAGGTCCGTTGCGACACGTTGGCATCCGTCCCCGCTGAGCCTCGGTGATTGTCCTTCTGATAGTCCGTCTTCAGTCTAGACCAGCGTGTGTCTGGAGGATCAGACCAGAATATAATGGTCTTGATGGAAAGATTAGCTGGTGGCAGGGTTTTTTTTTTTTTTTTTTTTTTTT